TTTTTGCTGCAAAGAATCACAAAAGCTTCTGGGTTGCTCACAAGAAGGGACGGACATGTCAGTGCAATTCAGCAACATAAAATAAAGAGATACAAATAAAACAAATAAACAAGAATCGGCAAATCATCTCTGATTAGATTTTATTCACTACTAGAATCTAATCAGAGATGCTTTGCCGATTCTAGTCCAATGACCTGCTCCAGCAGGGTTAGAAGGGTTAGAAGGGAGTATGTGTGTATGTGTGTGCATGGCTGTCAAAACTCCAAAAACAGGTCAAGTATCTCTGGGGAGGCCAGTCATAAATTAGAACACTTGCTAAACAACCGGCCATTAAGTGAGGACCATTTTGCGAGTCACCTGGCCACACCTACCCAGTCACATGACTACCAAACCACACCTACCCGGTGATGTGACCAGCAAGCCATGCCTAGCCAGCAAGCCATGCCATCCAGTCACATGACCAGCAAGCCACACCCACCCAGTCACGTGACCAGCAAACTACACCCTCAAATTAGGCCACGCCCACAGAAATTTGAATCCCTGGATGGGGGGGCACCAAGGATAAGTTTGTAGCACCAAGAGGACAGTGGACTGAAAAAGTTTAGGAACCACTGATTTAGATGCAGATCTAGTTATGCCTAAAATAAATCCAACAGACAACCTAGAAAAACGTAAACAGATTAAATAGATTTGCATAGGTCTAGCTAAAATACAAGATCTGTATCTAAGCCAAATTACAGTTTAATGTTTCCTGCTATTGTCTCACTCTGAGGTTTAGTTGTTAATTTCCCCCCCAGTTTTGTTGGTAATTAAAATGATTACAGAATCAATTTAATGCCAAAGAAGTGGTATAAATCCAGTGTCAATTCAATGTTCATTGTACAAAATATGTACTTTGTGAAAAAAAAACTATAATATTTAAGTCACATAATTGTGGTTGTTTTTTCCTTGAAGGTGGCATTTCTAAAATGTAAAAGAGGTAATTCTTTAAGATAGTTCTGCTATCAGAAGTGATAATTACAGTTATGGGTAAAGCATGTTGATTATTAAATATATAATTGGTGAGAGTATGGATGTTCATGAACAAGTACATGTTCCTACTTGTTGCAAAAATAAGTGCTCAGTTAATTCTGCTTGAATGTAGAATTTGTAACACATGTATATGAATGCTGTCAAATAAAAGTAGTTTAAATTAATTAATATTAATATTAATATTAAATTAATATTCAGAGTGCAGTAATATGTGAAAATGTTTGTTAGGATGAAAAGAAAATAATCATATTGATTTATACAGCTATGGAAAAATTTACAACACCTCTAGGTTAAATTATATACCTATTGGGCATAGTAAGAAATTATTTTGTGTATGCAGGACCTAAAAATAGGCTGGAAAAAGTTTTTGTGATCCTTGTGAACACTAGTTCCAGTTGGCAGAGTTCTATCAATAAAAGAAACAAATAGTGGGCAGAATTGGATAAATAAGGAATGTAAATAAGTATTGGTAAACTAAAACCTTCCCAACAAAGTCAGTGACAAGATCAAGGTGATTTTACTCCCTTACTTTTGAATGTTGTGCTATGGTTGAAAACCAGATTAATATGATTATTATTTTTAGAAGTGCTAATGTTTAATTTGATGAAATGGACAATTGACGACATGAATTTGAAAATTGTTACATAATTTTAATGTACTTTTGTATTTTCTTTATGCTTGTACAAATAGAGCTGAATTTTTGATAGGGAAAAGAAACTTGTTCTCAAAGTTCTTATTACTAATCACTTCCTGTAATTGGAGGATTTTAAAAATAACTTGAAACTTTGCCTTATTTAGGATTAAATTGACTGCTAGACTTTAATTATTTGAAAATTGTAGCCCAAAAGATATGGAAAGCACCAAACAGGAAATGGCTTTGCCTGAAGGATTTTCTGGAATAGGTGATACCATTTTATCTGATGGAGGATAAGCTTTTCCAACTTCAGGTGCTTTAAATATCTGTGACTTTAGCTTTAATTTAATTTTTATTTATTAATTAAACCTGTTTGCCATCTATCTTGCTGTGGGGCTACTATAGATAACTTACAATGGAGAAATGAAAAAAGGGTAAACACAACAGTAGCAAAGTAATGGAACAATAGTATAAATAATAAAAAAAACAATGACAATATAGCAATATAAGAATAAAAGATGGGCGAGTGGAAAAGCAAGGAGTGAAGGGAAAGGTTGGATTTGCTATCAATCCAGTAGTCATTGCCAGCGTGATACTCTCTTAACTTCCTAAGTCAAATAAAGAAATCATGATTGAAACAGTTTTCCTAGAAAATTGTCCTTCTCAAATATATATTAATTTAATAGTAAAACTAATTTTAGATTTCACCTAAAAAGACTACGGAGTAATTTTCAAGATATGCTTTACATATCTTTCATATGTTGTAAAAATGATAGTTATTATTTATATTAATCTAATTTATATTAGAAATTAATTCACCATTTTCATGAATGCTTTGCATAGGATATCTATAAGTATATCCTGGTGATGGAATTTGTGTATTCAGTGGGGTTATAAATAAAAGTCTGCTCACCTGTTACATTTTAGCATCTTGTGTTACATGTTTTATGTGTAGAAACTGTCATGTTTAGAACATTTATGTGTGTGTGTGTGTGTGTGTGTGAAAAGAGACAGACATCCTGATCTCTGGAACTAAAAATTTATATTGTTTGCTAAGCTTTCATTAGCCTCTGCTAACATCGTCAGAGTGTAAAACTACTGTTAAGGAGATATGTGCCTTTATATAACATTAACCAAAGGCTGTAATGAGCATGAGCTTGACAGCATTCTCTCTAGTTCCTTCCCTCATCCCAACGGACTTCCATCTTAAGGGCCCCTTTGTTTTGTCCACTAGATTCATTTGTTGCTTTGCTCATGATGGAAAGCAGTCTCTGCTCTTCTTGCAGAATCTTTCTTGATGCCTCAATGCTTGGTAGGCCAGTAGCAGTTGATATGTCTATTGATAGAGTTGTTTTTGGAAGACCAGTCTTCCTTCAGTAAGCATCCCCCTTTGGTTATATCATGGGCAACAACTTCGGCCTCTTGAAAATTAAATATGTGATTGTGTTCCTTCATATGTGTCCAGATCTGGGAGTGCTGCTCTTTGCGCCGGACAGCCAATTCATGTTCATATACTCTGGTCTGTAACCGCTTGGCCGTTTCCCCTACATAGTTGCTTGCACAGTTATTACAATTGATACGATAAACCACTGAAGATGCCTGTTCTTTGGGTAATGTTTCTTTTGGGTACATCACTGTCATTCTCAATGTTTGATACAGCTTGTATGCACCTTGACCCCATGTGTCAAGAGAATGCGTGCAGCAGTTTCAGATACTCCCTGTATATATGGGAGTACCCTCTATGCAGATGTTCCACTAGCACCTTCCGTTCTGGATGTAATATATCTTCGGATAAAGTCCATAGAATAACCATTGAGCTTACAGATTTGATAGAGGCATGCCCATTCTTTGGCTTTGGCTGTCAGTGTGCTACAATGGGTACTTATTCTATTGAACAGTGCCCGAATACAACTGACTTTGTGTACAGTGGGATGATTGCTCTCATTGTGCAAAATATAGTCCATGTTCGTGATTTTTCGATGTACACCTGTGTTAAGGTGTACACCTGTGTCTGGGTTAAGGCTGACTAGTACATCCAGGAAGGTCAGTGTGTTATTGGCCTCATTGTGAACTGAATGTTTGGGTATATGGAATTGAGGATTTTCATAAATCTGGTCTTATCTTGCTGTTTAATAATGACAAACGTGTCATTGACATAACATGCCCAAAACTTGGGCTTGTATATTTTCATTCCATCATATTCTAATTTCTGGAGGACTGCCTCTGCGATCACAACCGAGATTGGAGATCCCATAAGTGTACCTTTTATCTGTTCATATGTATGGCCGTTAAATGTAAAATAGGTTCTAAGGCAGAAATTCAACAGGAGGAGGAGATTGTTTGTGAAAAAAATGGCGCAAAGAGCAGCGCGCCCAGATCTGGACACATATGACAGAACACAACCACATATTTAATTTTCAAAAGGCCGAAGTTGTTGCACATGATGCAACCAAAGGGGGACGCTTACTGAAAGAAGCCTGGTTTTTCAACAACTCCATCAATAGGCATATCGAAATGCTACCGGCCTACCAAGCATTGAGGCACCAAGAAAGATCCTGCAAGAAGAGCAGAGACTGCTTCCCATCATGAGCAAAACATTTTCCCCCACAAACGATCTCCTTCTTCTGTTGAATTTCTGCCAGTTTTACCTGGAACTTGTATTTTTAGAATGGTACTATCCATTGACTAAATTAAGTTGCTCTAATATTGCAGTACCCCTTTACAAAGCTATTCAATAAAATTTAATAGGCAAACAAATGTTTTATAGTTATATAATCAATTAACCAGAAATTAAATGTATAAATAATTAAAAGTTTTAATATAAGTAAACTGTTTCACAATGATTACTGTAATAAGTTATTTTTTGATAACGGTTGATCCACATTTGATCATGTAGTCTTATTCCATTTGAAGGCATAGTCATCAATATTTTCAGTATTGTTCAGAAAATCTTCGATACACAAATTTAGAAAAACTTTGCCATACATTCATAAAGCATTCAATCAGTATTAAGAGCCAGCTAAATAAACTATGTCAATTTGCTGATTAGCTTCATTATCAAGTAGTGATAATGAATTTTCCATTTAGAAAACTCAGAAAATATAAACAAGAGTTTAGAGTAATTATTTGTGTATCATTGAATAATTTTGTTATCTAGTGCAATTAGTTGATCGTGCATGAACCTGATGTATAAATATTTTGTGTAATTAATTCTGGTCTGTCATTTATTCACATGGAATTCATCTGTATCTATATTCGGTTAATAATGTATGTGAAGATTAAACTCTTTAATTTGATTAGACTTGTTTTAAAGCTGACATTTTTTTGTACCTAGGCAGCAGGAGCAATCCGTCCTCTTGTCTCCACAGTTATTGCTTCAACTACAGAGGGATGTTTAGACCATTCACTAGATCGTGCCAAGTACAGAGCAAGTGAAATGCCTCAGGCTTTCTTATTTGATAAACTCCATCAAGCATATCTTCAGGTAAGTATTTTGGTTTTTGCCTTCAGTATAATAGTAAGAACAACTGAATTAGTATTAAATGCCATTCCTCACCTGCAAGTTCCAAATCTTTTAAAGAAGAAGTTGTAATGTTTCTTTTTCTCGGCTAGGTATTTGACTTGTGCTTGAATATAGTTAGATCTCAGGATAGTCAGCCTCCTTCTCCTGCTACAGGAGCAGATTACTATTTTCCAAGGAATTGACTATCTCTTACCACCTGTATGTCATTATCCATCTGAGGTTCTGGAAATGTCATATTTATCTCTTACCCTACTTCTAAATGCTACACATAGGAAATTTAGAATGAATGAAACCAGTGGGAATAGAACTGGGATTGACATTGGCAAAATTGCAGCTCCAATTCTGCTTTTTTCTTTTGGAAGGTGCCCTTCTATCCACTTTCTGACCTGTTTTTCTGCCCTTCAATTGTCTTTTGGCTGAGAGGGAGGCAGGATTCCTGCTTTCTGCAGATCTGATTTTCATGATTTCCTTCTATCCTGTTCAAATCTATGGGTGTAAATTGCTTTTGTAGATAGTTCACTGTGAATGATTTGTGCCTGAACTTTTAAAATTTGTCTTAGTGAATATTATAATATTTTATCATTTTATCTCATAAATTAAACAGATCTTCCTCCTCTTCTTCTTCTTCTTGTGCCATATCTGTTATTGGACATTGGCAATCATGTTAGAAATCCTACTTTTATCAGCAGCCGCACAAAAATGTGCTGCTGAATGTTGCCTAAACCAGCCTCTTAGATTTTGAAGCCATGATGTTCTTCTTCTGCATGGACCTCGTTTGCTTCAATCTTTCCTTGAAGGATTAAGTGAAGTATGCCGTATTTTTCTGGGTGTCGCATCACATGTCCGAAATAACCTTTGGTTTTGATGATTTCACTTGACTTTCCCAGGCAGCTTATCCCCTCCTCATTTCTGCATTTGTCAACCTTGCTTATATGTAACAGATATCTGTAAATCCACATTTCAAATGCTTCTAGTCTCTTCAAGTGGCTTTCTGTCAGAGACCAACTTTCTACTCCGTAGAGCAGGATAGAAAAGATGTAACATATGACAGGCCTGATTTTCAATCTAGATCTTCCTCACTCACTTCAAATCAAGATCTCAATACCAAACATTGGAGAGAAAAACTGGATGAACTTGTACAATGTATTGATATGCCATAGAAAGGAATGATGGCTTCTTCTCTAACAGACTGAATAGAACTGTATTAATTCCTGATGTATTACTACATCAATTAGAAAAGATAGCAGACTTTGAATTATTAGTGAAATTATTGATATTAAATTTACAAGTTTGGTAACTGGCATATTTGGGATCCATAAAAGATGGAAGGGCTAAAGAGAATTATTGCTATTTCTCTAGAATTAAAGACCTGAGACAAAACGATCAATTTCATGATAAAAATAATTACAAAATTACAATCAAAATTACTTAAAATATGGGGAAACTCAGCAGAAATAATTAAAAAATAATTAACCTATCATTGGATGATGAGTAGTGGAAACCTTTATTAAATTACACAGAAGGATGCCTTCAGGAACGTTTGTCATTGCCAATTGATTTTAAAGTAAGATAATAGATGCTCATAGATTCAGAGCAAGAGAAAATTCCTCACAGAGATTCTTCCCTATAATTTCTAAAGTCTAGTACTAGAGATCATCTTTTACAGCTTTCAAGACAGGCTACTAAATTGAAACGTAATGGAAAAATAATAATTTAATTATATTATAATAAAATTATAATTTATCCATATCTTTCTTTAAAAGTGCTTCAGTTATGGAAAGGCTTTCATTTAATGCATGCACTTGCAAAAACTAAAAGTTAAATATTATTTGTTATTTTTAAGTGAACATTACATTAATATGTATATTTTAAGGGAGATTCCAGGGTTACTTCCTATTAATTATATTAAATGGATAAGTTAATGAAAAAGTTTTTATGGAAGGCTAAAACTCATTTGAATATTGGCCAAATTGAAGTTAGGGTTGGGGTTAGGATTACAGCATGCCTGTGCACACGTGAAGAGAACACACACACACACAGACCCCTCAACCAAGAGATGAGATTCTCTTTTGGCAGACAGTTCTTGACAGTGAAAGGGCAGAGAGATAGGCCAAGGAAAAGACTAAGAAGCAGGAAGATTTTGGGCTCTATACACATTTAGATTTTGGCTCAGGCTTAAGCTTGGGTCTCCTCATAAGGTAAAGATTTTTATCTCTTGCCAACTCAAAGTTTGACTCTCAAGCAAGCACCAATCAGGTGCGAGTTCTTTCAGTCAGCTCCCAGAGACAAGAGGGAATTCTCTCAGCAGGTGGCAACAGCTTGCAATCTTCCCTGCAGAATTCCTCATTGATCTCTCGCCATTGGCAAGATCAGCAGAGAAGATTGCAAATGCAATTATGTGATCATCATCTGTAGTATTTCAAATATGTTTAGATTCATACAGTGGTTCTGATCTCTGTGCGTGTGAACATTTAAATGTTTTCTATTATAATGATAACAATTATAATGCTGAGGTATTATTTGACAAATGGTGTTAAGTGCAATCAGGTTGCTAAGAATCCAGATTGCAATTATATGACTGTGCAGGGCAGTGGTGGGATTCATTTTTTTACTACCGGTTCTGTGGGCATGGCTTACTTGGTGGGTGTGGCTTGGTGGTCATGTGACTGGGTGGGTGTGGCTTGGCAGTCCTGTGACTTGGTAGTCATGGCATGGTAGTCATGTGACTGGATGGGCATGGCTAACTCCATGTCACTCACGTCAAGGGGTGCCTTGCCTGGCCCCTTTCCTCCCAGCCATTCCTTATCACACCCAGCCTCAGTTCTGTAAAAATGTTGTTCACCATTTTTTGACTTTATGATCTACATACTACAGATGTACTTTCATGGACCATTCAAAGGAGGAAATGTCTTACATGCTTTGCCCAAGAGTGTGATAGGAAACAGGCTTTTAAGGGGCTGCCAAAAAGAAGGGGGGGCAATGTATTTTCCAAAGCACAAACAAGAAGCAACTGAACAAGGAGAGAAGCAACCTAAAACTAAGGAGAAACTTCCTGACAGTGAGAACAATTAGCCAGTGGAACTGCTTGTCTCCAGATGTTCTGGGTGGTCAATCACTGGAAGTTTTAAAGAAAAGAGTGAACAGCCATTTCCCTGAAATGGTCTGGGTTGCCTTCAAGGTCCCTTCTAAGTGTTATTTTGTTATTCTAACACCTTTTCCAGGACCTTACTCAGATTTTAACATCCTCAGACTCTTAGCTATTTAGCTGAGGAATAACAAGAGTTAAAAGGGACTTTGGAGGTCTTCTAGCACAAGGGTTGCCAACCTTTTGGACCTCAGGGACCACCAAACTCATCATTTTAGATCCCAGGGATCACTAACTGGTTCTGTGGTTGTGGCCTAATTTGTGGGTGTGGCTTGGTGGTCATGTAACTGGCTGGGCATGGCTTGCATGTAAATATTATAAATATTTATATAAATATTGAATTTTTTATAAAAAAGAGCAACTTTTACCCAAAATTAGGCAAAGCTGGCAGGCAGATTGAGTTGCTCACAGAATTACAGATTCAATCAGAAATCTATCTGCCATTGGCTAGCTCAGTCTGTCACATAAAATTTGCTTGCAAATAAACTCATAAAATTTGCTAGCAAGCAAACTCATAAAATTAACTCACAACACACCATGCATGTAAATATTATTTTTTTTATTAAAAAAGAGCAACCTTTACCCAAAATCAGGCAAAGCAGGCAGGCAGATTGAGTTGCTCATAGAATCACAGATTCATTCATCTGCCATCAGCTAGCTCAGTCTTTCAAATTTGCTTGCTGTGAGTCTGCACTGAATTTGCTTGCAAGCAAACCTTCAGTCCTAAAGGAGGTTCGGCTGTGCTGAGCCGAAGACCTAAAGACTAGCTAGAAAGCAAGAAATCCAAAAATTTCCTGCTTCCTAGCTAATCTAAACCTCCCGGCACAGCAGAACAGATGACGGTCAGAAAAAGGAAAAATAGAAATTTAGCAGGCAAGTTTGCCAGGTAAGGAGTGAGTGGGCGGGGAGGGTTCCCACGGGCCATGTGGGTGGTGCAGCCTTGTGTTTCTGCGCAGCTTGGATTAATTGCTTTGTGGGGGTGCTCTGGGGGTGAGATTTCTCTGCGGCCCACCAACATTTTCTCATGGCCCACCAGTGGGCCACAGCCCACCAGTGGGCGACCGCTGTTCTAGTCCAACCTCCTACTCAGGCAGGAAAACTGAGGCCAAAATCTGTAGAGGTCCTGTGAAAGGTAACAGAATAACACTCAGAAGGGACCTTGGGGGAACCCTATACCATTTCTGTATTTCAACTGCAGGTTTCTAAAAATCTTATTTAAAAAATGAGATTAATATCCTAATAAGATTTATAGAAACCTGCAGTTGAAAGTTCTTCATATTTCCTTACCCTGAAGACCCAATTTCATTTGGAATTTAATCCCAAACTAATTGCCCTTTTAGCATTTCTCTTGATACTTCTCCAAAACGTATTCCCAAGAAGCAACATCTCTCTCAAGAGATCTAAAGGGGGAGAAACTACAGTACTACTGGCATTAATAATGTACAAGGATGTGTACAAGAGTCTAAACAGAAAATATAAGAAGGAGCTGGCAAATATTAACATATTACTCACAAATCCTGGAAAATCAGTATTGATTTAATGTTTCCCAAATGCAATCCTTTGTAGAACAAAATGCTCTGGACTATAGACATTGAATGCATGTAAATCTCTCTCTCTCTCTCTCTCTCTCTCTCTCTCTCTCTCGCTCTCTCTCTCTCTCTCTCTCTCTCTCTCTCTCACACACACACACACACACACACACACACACACACACACACCTACCTATCTCTCTCTCTCTCTTTCTCAGACACACACACACACCTACACACCTGGTCTAACTCAGACGGCGCGAGAAGGCAGAAAGCAAGCGGTGGGAGCGGCGGCCGAAGCATGCTACTGCCGTGGCCGCTTTATTTCATCCCCCGGGAGAAAGGCAGAAAGCGAGCAGCTACGGCAGCAATGGTAGTATTCCTGGAGGGTGGGGTGGGCGGATGTACTGGAGCTACTGCACATTCGCAGTGCGCCCCTCCGCCGCCCCTCTCAGTTTTAGTGCAGCAGAGATGCCCCCCAAGGGCCATCTGCCCAGCCACTTGCCAGGCCGGAAGCAGTGCATCCCCAGGGAGGAAGCAGAAACTGGGTGGCGGCTGGAGCATGGAGCTGTCATAGCCGCTTGCTTTCTTCATTCCACCGTCCCCCAGAAGGAGGCAGAAGGCAGCATGCTGCGGCCACACCTTTCTTCCTTTCGTCCTCAGGAGAAGGAAGAAGTGGGCTGCGATGGCAATGAAGCTAGGCCATAGCCAGTGCTACCACTTGGGATAGGACTGTGCCAGCAACGAAGCCAGATAAATAAGCCCGGGAATGGTGGGGGGCCCTCGGCAAGTTCGGAGAATGGTGGGGGAGGAGGAGGCTAGCTCTGGGGGCGGTGGGGGGTGCTAGTGCAACTCGCAGGCTTATCTGTGATCAGGAAGATCAGAGCTGCTCAGTTGGGGCACAGGCACCATGTGGGAAGGCAGGTTAAGCCATGAGGACCCAGTGTGGAGATTGGAGTGACTGGGCAGGGCGAGCATTAGACAGGGCGAGAAAGAATTGGGCGGGTGGGGCAAATGAGTGAGCGGTGACCGGGCAACTGGTTCAGGGGCATGGCCAGCCAGAAGTCACTACTGATTCGGCGACCCATGCCAAATTATTGCTATCAGCTCTCCTGAACCAGCTGAATACAACCACTGGTGCAGGGGAAGTTGTGTGGCATTTCGCTATGGTCAGAAGTACATTACAGGTGTAACTTTGGTCATTAAGCAACCAGTCATTAAATTTGTATCCTGATGCTATGAGAAATCACTATATTAATAAATATTTGATTGAAGCACAGTGATAGTTGTGGAACAAAAAGAGGTTAGATTCCAGCATTAAAATTGTTATCATTATAATAGGAAATATTTAAGTGTACACACAGAGAGATGAAAACTGCTGTATGACTATAAAAATATTTGAAATACTACAAAGATTACCTTTTTTCCAGGAGGGGGCAAGGTATTGTGTTTATAGCAACATTTCTGAAAGATTAGATATAGAGCAATACAATCTATTTTGTTAAAATTTTGTATATCCATTGAAGGTCACCTGCCATATTTTAAATGCCATATTTTATTTTTTAAATATTCTATATTTTTTGTTCTTTTTGTTTTCTACAGTGTAGTGACTATGATTTGGATTATGGAACAGAATGTTTGCATCTAGCTTTAAAGTATAGCAAAATAAATGCTAAACTTATTGAAGGACCTCCTGACCTTTGGAAGGTAAGAGCATTACTATTGCTGCTTATTAATAGTGAAATATTTTCTCACGATACGGATTTTTTTTACAATGTGTTAATGTCTAGATGCTATAATAAAACATTATTATAATAAATTACAATAAAACATTATTAAATATAATACATTTAATACTTGCAAGTTCCATTTTCAGCTGTGATGACTTTCTGCCACCCTCTGCCAGCAAAAAAGGAGCTTGGGAGGGCCATGGGCCGGACCTTTGCTGTTTCCAGGGCGGCCTGATGGGCCAAATCTAAGCACCTTGAGTTTGACACCACTGCATTATAGTAAGGAGGCATTTTCCTAATCTCACTACTTAGTGAGATTAGTAATGAGTTTCCTAATCTCACTACAAGAGCTGCAAATAAGGGACTTATTTTTCTTCTGCTGATGATTGGTATAGTCCAACAAAACATGTAGCCTTGGCAACGGCATCAACATTTGGTGGCAAAAGTAGGAAATTAATCAAGCACTAACCTTGTCTCTTTATCATACATTGTGCCTCTCAGGTTTGACTGGCATGAGGAAAAAGCAAGAATGGCAGGTGTACTTTTTCATTCTTGTTAAGGTATTTAGGTTGAATATTATATTACAAGGATTACTAGCACAAACTTTTGAAGCCACCAGTCCACGGAGAGTACTGTATATTAATTGTCCTATTTTTTAAATTTATATTGAATTTATTTTATTTTGCCTTTCTATTAAAGAAAAAAAAGTTGAACAGTTAGAAAACCTAAACACTTGTAGATCATATTACCAGATATTACTAGCATAGGCAAATTATACCACTTCAGCTGCCCAACAGAATACACAAGCATATAACTAAATTTGATATGTAAATTACATTCCAAAAGCAATTGAACTGTAGTTAAATGGAATACATCTTGCCTCATATATAAACCTTACATGAACCTTCAGTTGAATTTCCTAGGATTTTGTTCAGTAGCCTAGAATACATCCAGTAATGCAGTCTTGAAGATGGTTAATGTGTTAAGTATTAATACCTAGGTTTGGTCCTGGGTTCTAATCTGAGGACTCATGTAATCTTTGACAGTACTGGCCTGCTGCCTCTGCTTCTGTCCCTTCTCACCAGCCCTCCACTTGGGTGGCCAGCCCTTCTCTCCTGCTACTGCACGGTGATTCTCACGCTTCCCAACCTGCTTCACGCCTGCTCTAGCTGTGACTGCATGGTGATTCTCATGCTCTCTGCACTTGCTCCCTGAAGGCTGCCTCCTCCTCATTGCCCCCACCATGCCAGCCCTCCCCTGTGTGGTCAGCCCATCTCTCCAGCTGCTACGACACAATTCTTGCACTCCCCTGCTTGCTACTCGTTGCAGAATACCTTATGCCACCAGACTCGAAATTCTAAACCTAGAAAACCTAGAACTACACTGCCTTTGGTCCGATCTAACTTGATTGCAGGAAACACGACTTCAGCAACAGAGTGGTCAATGTCTAGAATACTCTACCTGACTCTGTGGTTTCTTCCCCAAACCCCAAAAACTTTAACCTTAGACTGTCTACTATTGACCTCACCCCTTTCCTAAGAGGTCTGTAGGGGGCATGCATAAGTGCATCAATATGCCTACCGTCCCTGTCCTATTGTTTCTTTTATATTTTTTTTATTTTTCTGATATGTATCCATGTATTCATAACTATGTTTTTACTTATACCTATTATCTTGTAAGCAATTGACAAATAAAATAAAAATAAAACCTGCGGCGGCCACTCCAGCCATAGCCATGGGACTCACCAACAGCTGCAGCATGCCCTACCTCACCCTCTCCCTGGAAGTAGGCCTGTCACCCAGGTGGTGCAGTGCTGGTAGTGAGATGGCAGCCACCGGGCACCCCTGAGGCTTCAGCTGGAGTGGTTGCTGCTGCCAGGAGCAAAGCAGTCAGGGCAGCTCAAGAATCACAGGTCAGTGGCTGGAAAGACAGATGGTGGGAGCAAAAGTGATGGATGAAGCAACACTGGCCCTGTGCGCACATGCATATGCCTGGATGGAGTGGACCAGGCCTGTGCGTGTATGCGCCTGCTGCCTCCTGCGCATATGTGCACATGCCGAGATACCGTGGGCCAGGCCAAAGCGATGCAGTCCAGCTCCTTACAAATTCCAGGATGGCCCATGGACCTTGAGTTTGACACCCCATCCTAAGGCATGTTATGATCTCCCCATTATCTCTAAATTTGAAATAATAGTAATAAATGCTAGATTTGTTACTTTTAAAGAGATGTTAAGTCACATATTAGATAGCTGATACTTTTCACCAAGTATGCAGTTACATAATTAGATACTTGTTTTACTGTCTTTATTGTTTTTACCCAGTGATAATAAATTGTTAAATTGCATTCCTTTTTTTATTGCATAAACTGATAAAAATATAATAAAGATATTTGATTTGATGGTATTGTGCATGATGATTATAATTTTCAGATATGTACCGTATATACTCGAGTATAAGTCGACCCGAATATAAGCCGAGGCACCTAATTTTACACAAAAAACTGGGAAAACTTATTGACTCGAGTATAAGCCGAGGGTGGGAAATGCAGCAGCTACTGGTAAATTTCAAAAATAAAAATAATTAATTTGGGAAACGATCTCACTATCATGAAAGGTTTAATTGATTCACTAACCCAAAAGAAGAAGATGATGATGACAGCGGGAGGCAGGAGTCACTCTCTTCCCCTCCCTCGGAGGCCCCCTGAGTCAGGAGTCACTACCGCCGGCGCGGCCCCAGTCCCGCGTCGCCTCGGGAAGGGAAAGGCAAAAAGGAAGAGCCGCGGCAGCGCTTTGCAACAGCAGCAGCGGCACCGGAGGCTCAGGCTCAGCGGCTCCTGGTTTTGCCCCACCCTTCCCAAGGCAACGCGGGACCGGAGCCGCACTGGCGGCAGCAACTCCCGACAGCCCCAGCCGGACACCTGAGCGGAGATGTAGGGAGAAGGCAAAAGCGACGGAAGATCCTTCAGGGGAAACTGAGGGGGAGACTCACCCTTGGTCCAGATGAGCCCCCTTCCCCGCCCCTAAGGAAGCAGAGGCAGCCAGCAAGGGCAGGCAAGCCCCACTTCACAGACTCCGTCCGTCCTCACTCCCATCCACCCACCCACCCACCCACCCACCCACCCAAAGCCACGAAGTCCCCCAATCGCGCAGCCCAGAATCGCCCTCCCCTCAGGGGGCAGCAATGACACCCGGTTTTTCCCGAGACAAGAAGCTCCGCCGTGCAATGAAAGCGCCCTGGCTCTAGGCTCGCGGGCTCAGAAAACAACGCGAGCCGAGGTCGCTTCGGCTCCGCTCGACTTCTCCAACATCCGGCACCGCCCTGTTCTATGTGCCGGGCCCGGCAAGTCCGAGCAGCCAGCGCGTGGAGCAGGACGGCGCCGGACATCGTTGGCTGCCTCTTTCGCAGCACGGGAGGCCTCCCCCGGCTGGCCAGCTGC